TCTGTATACAGTGCTTCAATGTTCCCTTTAGTAAATTCTGACATTTCCCTAACTTTTGGCAAGGCTCAATGTTTGTAAATAAAAATTACGTATCTGACACTATGACCTCGATAGGAATATTCATGAACTACAACTGACAGGTATTCCCGCCCAGAAGCGCGTGTTGAAATAATTTCAGCTTCCCAATTGGTTTAAATTTGCATGAGAAAAGACACGACTATCGCACATGTTTTATGGTGCGAAGTTTTAATGAGATGCAAATGATATGCAAATGAGCGCGCTCCCATAGAGTTAACCATGGCGATTTTCGCTCACTGAAAAAGCGTCTACATACAAAAAAACTAAACACAAATCAATCATTTTACTTTGACTAAAATGCACTAGTTCTTCTTAAATTTAGTATATTTTAAAGTCAACACATCATGTTACCCGGAATTGTTATTTTTAGTTACGAAAACGATCAAATGACAGGTGCGTAAATACTTTCTGGCGGGTCTGTAGTATCAAAGCAATCAGACTTGCTGTTTTCAACAAGAAGTCCAAAATATCACTTTTTACCAAAAATGACAAAAATATTTACCTAAATTAGAGAAATAAAGATACAGTGTTCTCCACAAATAAAATTTAAAGAAGCATATCTAATTTGCATATAATTAGCATACCAATTAAACATTTCAAAGACAAATCTTAGCACTTTTATATTTACATCAACCTCAAATACTGTGTACAAGTACTATACCGGTATTAATGTTCTTGAATTATTTCTATGAATTAATTAAACCACTTGATGTCATCCATGTTGTTTCAGTGTTTACCGTACGTTTATTTGCTGATTCTTTTTACTTTTCGCCAATAAAAGGCAAGTAACAAGCAATTTGACCAATAAATTGTTGCTGGTTCTTTTGTTCTCAAGTATCTAAGCTAATTCAGGAATGATGAGGAAACTTGTTTTGACCACACTCCCTATAGAGGGACTGTGTTTTGACTCTCCAATTGCGTGATTAACGCAATGTTTGTGACAATCACTTCACGCATCCAGCCATTGTTTTTGGTTTATTTATTCAGCCAGTTTTTCCACAGACATCCATTCAATTGTCCTAGTTGTCATCTATGCCACTATCTGTCTCTTAGTTCTTTGTTTTATCGCCTGTCAATTAATAAAAGGTCTCTCAATAACGTCGTCGGGACATTTTCCGGGACTCGTGAAACAGCTGTTCACCAAGGGTGCTGAAGATAAATAGAGGGGCGCTACAAATTGAAGAGGGCGCAAATAAATTAAAGAGGGGCGCTGCGCCCCTCTTAAACCCCTCGTGAAGAACACTGAGATATCATCATGAAATCTAAGAGAGGTCTACCCAAGGTACATGTACACCAAGTATCAAAGCATTTAGACTTGTAGTTTTCAAGAAGAACTCGAAAAGGTGAAAAGTTGACACGTACGCTGACGGACACTCACTCATATGATAAGTCTCGCTTGACAAAGTCGATAGCGGAGCTAAAAAAATTGAGTAGCATCATTACCAGAACATGAACAGGGCTCGAGAATTTCAAAATGTCACTTGAATAAAAAGTATAATTAAAAAAAAAAAAAAAAAAATTTCGGTTTACTTATTTATTATTTCCCTAACTTTAACATGTGGTCTTTTGTCTACTACTTAGCGGCTGTGTACCTGTGAGATTATCAAGTGTGTATTTGGATGTTCTAATCTTTGCGTTTTTCCAGTGATTTCTCTAGGTGCAGTTCCTGCAGTTTGAGCTGGCCAACATGTGCGTTTTTTCATGTGGTTGATTACAGGCATGTTGATTTCCCATTTTAGAGCCATGTTTTCAACCTTGTTTATTATTTTCATAGAGCAATCTCATCATATATTAACATTGTCTTCTATGGAGTTTCAATTAGTGGTATGAGCCCATCAAGTTAACTGTCACCTAACGCTCACTTACCCAGGGCTTTCATTAACAGCCGGCAACCGGCCAAAGTGTCCGCCTACTTGCTGCGGGTTTGCCGGCTACTTTATTATTAAATATTTTATTAAAATCAAAACAAAATGTTTATTTTTCCTTTGAAGATGAAACCATAAAATCATGTCCCATAGAACTAAAACATGCGTTCTGAGGCTTCCCTAGATATAACAAATTACGTACGCAATGTGATCATTAAATTTACGCAGTTTGACCTTTGGCGACCTTTTGTGCAAGCCATAACGAGTATTGTTCGAAACGAGCAATCCTATTGGTTCTTTCCCGGTCAGCTTCGTAATATCGGCCAATCAAAACTCGCGTACTATTTACAAAGCACTGCCACGGTAAATCAAAATGGCGGACAAAAG